TTTTTTATAAACATGTATCCCTCTGAAATATTTAATGTATGAATTTTCTTAATACCAAAATTTGTTTTAATAATAGATAATCTTTAATGTTCTATTCTGAATGCAATGTTCCCTTTAATAGAACCCCAAAACACAAAATAAAAAAAGTAGACAATGCCTTTCCTTATATGTAAATTGAAAGATTTACCATAACCTTACAGTACTTGATATTTCAGCACAAATAGCATTCATTCCTTCATACAGGACCAATATATATATATATTTATATATGTGTGTGTGTGTGTGTGTGTGTGTGTAGGACAATTACAATAATTGGTACACACCATTAGAGTTGCCAGCATGGCAAATGCGCTGGTAAAGTCATGCCAGGAGATGGGAAGCTTTGAGCTGAGGCTGGTAAATTCCAAGACTAGTATGAGGAAGGTAAAACCGAAGCAGAAGCACCAGGTGAACATGCTCCATATCCAAAAGGAGTCAATCCCACGGCCGACCGATGCAACCAAGCTAAAAGTCACACAAGTAAAGATCACCTCCAGGATCCTCAAAATGCCCACAGGTACCGTCAGTGTCTTAAAATCTACCGTAACCATCCTGACTGTGATTCTGCTGTAATGTAGTTAATTTTGTCTAATGCTAATATGACTGCTGTCCCTCTGCTCTGGTCTGTACAAGAGTGTTCGTTTATCAGTTCTACTTTATCCTCATGATAAGGTAACCATTTCAACACAGTAGTTACAGGAACTACACCATGTCATAGCATCACCCCACCCTTGCAGTGAGACTCACCTTTATTGAGATGGTAGAGATTGGATCGTTAGGTTGAGAAATATTAACTCCTGTGAAAAAAATCCTAATTTGAGGAATTCAAGAAATACAATTTGTTCAACAAATTCTTGAAAAGTCCTACAATTTGGTAGCTGTTATAGCCTATCAGAAATGTCCCTTCAGAACTACAAGGTAAGAAGAACAACGTGCATTTCCTGCAAATATGAAGCATGAATGCCGTATGGTAAGCTGTAAGATGGCTGAAATTAAGCAATTTTTTTTTATGTTATGAATTACCAGAAAACAGAATTGGTTTCTTCAAAAAAAGAGTAAAAGAGCTGAAACAAAGAGCAGAAATCTGGCTGAAATGTTATGAAATTCCAGATGCGCGATATCTATCCTGAAAAATAGCAGAAGTAAGATGAAATCAAAAGCAGAAACCTGGCTGAAATGTTATGAAATTCCAGATGCGCGATATCTATCCTGAGAAATAGCAGAACTAAGATGAAATCAAAAGCAGAAACCTGGCTGAAATGTTATGAAATTCCAGATGCGCGATATCTTTTCTGAAAAATAGCAGAACTAAGATGAAATCAAAAGCAGAAACCTGGCTGAAATGTTATGAAATTACAGATGTGCGATATCTATCCTGAGAAATAGCAGAAGTAAGATGAAGCCAAAAGCAGAAACCTGGCTGAAATGTTATGAAATTACCGATACGCGATATCTATCCTGAGAAATAACAGAAGTAAGATGAAGCCAAAAGCAGAAACCTGGCCGAAATGTTATGAAATTACAGATGCGCGATATCTATCCTGAGAAATAACAGAAGTAAGATGAAGCCAAAAGCAGAAACCTGGCTGAAATGTTATGAAATTACAGATGTGCGATATCTATCCTGAGAAATAGGAGAAGTAAGATGAGGCCAAAAGCAGAAACCTTTGTTAAATGTTAAGACATAGTTGAAAACAGAAAAGCTTAATTCCTTTTCAGAAAATAGTGAAAAAATATCCGTAGAGGAAAATGATAAAAGATAAACTGAGATTAGATGGTTCAAAATCAGTATTACAGTAAAAAAAAAACAAAAAAAACAGAAAAAAACAGTGTCCGTTGATTAATATGTGGAATCAAGCATAAGTAGTATCTTGAAAAGCCAAAGTTTTATCAAAAGGTGTACAAACACGAAAGACCATTAAAAGCTGACAGAGAGTACAGTAGATAGAGCAAGACAGGGTGATAAACAGATGGCCAAAGGAACTAGATAAGCTGAAGTTACCCTAAAACTTTTGTTCAAAGTAGTTAAAATTTTGAAAATAGAAGAGGCTTTAAAAGTATAGTTATACTGCTTTAGGCTTAGACTTCTGGAGTACATAGGGACCCTATTTCATCATTCTGCTTCATTCTGTGTCCATTCTCCCACTCTGCAGAATCTGTCAGTTCAATCTCTAACCTTATACTCTCTCTGCTTTTTCTCATAGTAGCTTTGCCTCATCTGTTCCTGTTTGGCTGTGACACCATCCTGGAGAGAAATATCAGCTGTGCTGCTTTCAACACCCCTATTTATAGATGCTGCAGATTGGCCTATTTTCCAGTGTTGTCCTGTTTCTGGCTGGATGTGCTCTCTTTATCCTCTGACATGGGAGTTGGCTCAGAGCTTGTCTGCCAGGCTGTGTGTTTCCTGGACAGGGCTGCTTTATACAGCTGCTTTTTGTATCTCTGCTTCTGTCTCCTTGAACCCCAGTCGGTCTCGGCAGATGGCCGCTCACACTGAGCCTGGTTCTGCTGCAGCTTTCTTCCTGTTAAAAGGGAGATTTTCCTCTCCACTGTCGCTACAAGCATGCTTAGTGTGAGGGATTGCATTTGAGTCAATGCAATCAACTGGTTTTCCTTCGATAGAAAACTTTGAATCAATTTGACTGTATGATCTGGTTGAACTATAAAATGCCTTGAGATGACTTGTGTTGGGAATTGGCGCTATATAAATAAACTGAATTGAATTGAGTTAAAAGTAGAGGGACTAAAAATGCCACCAAATATAGAAGCAAATCAGATGTAATGATGAACTAAGTATTCAAACTGTTGTTGAAACACGATGAAATGTGAATGAAGCAAGAAAAAGCACTAAGTGGATATGCTGGAGACACGATATTCTTTTATAAACAAACTGCATAAAAAGCTTAATAGAAGCGTTTAAGAGTTATTCATATGTAAATATGGGGGGATCTTTAAAAAAACCAGAAAGAATGGTCACCAGCAAATTGATAAAATTAATATAATCTAAAATACAAAATCAACAAAGAATTTGGAAACATCAACATGTGTTAAGTAGTAGAGAACTGAGACACATGCAAGGTGCGAGGAAGAACATTGGTTTATTAATACATCTGCAGATTGAGAGACAGGGTGGCTTTTTACCCCTACATAGATAGAGCCGCTTGCAAGAAAAACAACTTCACCCTGTCAAGGACATACATCTTTGACTAGCCAGATGAAACATTTCACAACAGCTGTCTTCCTTTCATGCCATGGGGGAGACTTAGTTAGCTCTACCCACTTGATTTCGTTACATGCTGATTTTTCCCACATAAAATTCATCAAATAAGTTACATCTTCTCTGAATATGAACATTGTAAACACAGTCGACTAATGTGGTCTACAGCACAATGAACTTTACAATAACCTAATAAGTACTAGCCAAAGAAGACAAGTAGGCAGATTTCTTTCAGTCAAGAGGTGACACACAGTCTGTTAGTGATTGGACATTATCTACCAAAAAATATATAAATATAATATTTACATAATTTACATTTGCACCAAGTACTGAATTACTATTACTGACAAATTAACCCTATTTAAATATTTATTTATTATTATAAACTAGTAATTTCTAATATATCTTAAACACAGAAACATCTTTTAAACACTAATTATACCTGCCTGTTGTGTGTCAGAAATAATGTTTTCCCAAGTAGTTTAATTATTCTGTTAGGATAAAAAGTCATCAGTATATACATGACAAAGATTTGGGAACCTTAAAGGTGTAAAAACAAAGTTTATCAGTTCTACTTTATCCTCTTGATAAGGTTACCATTTCACAATTTAAGTAACAGTTGTCATGTTGGGTCTAAAGTGTGAAACCCAAATGCAGAACACCACAGACTCAGAGTAAAAGTTCAAACTGTTTATTGAAGAGAAAACACAATAAGGTTATTTGGGCTCAGATGCAGGAACGGATCCAGGAACCGGTAACACAGGACTCTCTGTAGAGAGGGACAGTTTGGTTAGCCAAGAGACTGGAGTATCTTGTCAGAGTCTTTGAATTGATCTGTACCTGATGTGATTCAGACAGAACTGTTGAGGGAGGGAACCAGAAGGGTCCAGAGACTGAGGTATCAGCTGAGGGCTTAGCAGCGGCAGGGCTTGGCTTCAGACTTATGAGGTTCAGACCTTGAATTGATCTCCTAGCTCTCTCCTTGAGAACCAGCAGGTTGTTCCAGGAGGAGATCTTCAGGTTTGGCTTCCAAGGGCAGGCAGGTTTTCAGGTTTTGAGCTCTTCCAGAGCTACAGGAGTGAATCAGATCTTCCTAAGAAGGTAGAGAAGACAAAGGCTGGTTAGATTCAGGTTGGTTTTTCAAGCAGTCAGAGTTTCAGGCAACAGGTTTGGCTCAGGCTTGCTAACCATAAACTGTTTAACACTCTGGCACTGAAGAGAAGTCAAGCCACTGCTTATATAGTTGGTCTCCTGACGAGATGATCAGCCTCAGGTGTGCAGGTGGCTTCAGCTCAGGAGATCCAGGGCGCCCTCTGCTGGAGAAAGGTGGCAGATCTCCAGATCCCAACAGTACCCCCCCTCAACGACCGCCTCCAGGCGGTCCAGAGGAAGTGGAAGGCAGGGAGTCCTTATACTCGTCGATGAGGGATGGGTCCAATATGAAGGACCCCGGGACCCAGGTGCGATCCTCCGGACCGTAGCCCTCCCAGTCGACCAGGTACTGCCAACCGCGGCCCCGGCGACGGGAGTCTATGATCCGGCGAAGAGTGAAAGCTGGATGGCCATCAATGTCCCGGGCGGGTGGAGGGGAGTCGGACGGAGTGCAAAGAGGACTGGTGAGAACAGGCTTGATTTGGGAGACGTGGAAGGTGGGGTGAATGCGCAGTGAAGGTGGCAGGTGAAGACGGACAGCAGACGGGTTGATGATGGAGGCGATCTTGTAAGGTCCAATGAATCTGGGGGATAACTTTCGAGACATGGATTTTAGCGGAATATCACGAGTGGGGAGCCTCTGGTGCGGGACGACGTCTTCGATCAGAGAATTTTTTGTTCTGAGCTGCGGTCCGGTTCAGAGCGGATACTGTCTCGTTCCACACCTTGTGGCAACGGCGGATGTGTTGATTTACAGTTTGCACCGAGATCACCTTCTCGTCGGTGGGGAAAAGAGGTGGCTGATAACCTAGAGACACATGAAAGGGGGACAGACCGTAGCAGCAGATTGCTGTGAGTTGTGTGCATACTCCACAGAGGATAAGTACTGGTTCCAGTCAGTGGGATTTGTGGATGTCAGACAACGGAGAGTGGACTCTAACTCCTGGTTCATCCTTTCCGTCTGGCCGTTGGACTGTGGGTGATAACCAGAAGTTAGGGAAACCTTGGAATTTAGAGCAGAACAGAAACCCTTCCAAACCTGAGCTGTGAACTGGGGACCTCGGTCGGATAGAATTTCTTGAGGGATTCCATGAAGCCGGAACACGTGTTTAACCAATAGCTGAGCGGTCTGGAAAGCAGTGGGGAGTTTCCTGAGGGGAACCAGATGACAGGCCTTAGAGA